CTCCTTTCGGTGTCCGGAAGTAGGTGTTGATCAGGGAGAGTCGGTTGTCTGCTGCCAGTCCGAGAAGTCGTTCCCCGTTGTTGTTCATAACGTCGCGTCCGTACGCGCCCATAATCTTGGCATCGGAGCATCCGTCTCGCCTCCTGCCAGTACGTGCGTTGGCGTCCATTAGTACCACGAGATGGTCACGGCTATGGACCTCCCGGATCTCTGCGTCGAGAGCAGTCCAGAAGGAGTCCTTGGCATTGACATCACCGCCCGCGGTGTTGCGGGCAGTTTCCGTAGGGGCGTACCCCACCACGAAAGTTACTCCGCAGGTGCGGCCAATTTGCAGGCGCACCTTCATCAGCCTCGGGCTAATGCACTCCACCGTCCTACCTCCCTCGCCTACGCTGTCCCACATGGTCTCCTTAATCGCTATGCCCACACCGTGCACGCCCCTCTTGTCCTTGGTGCCGGCACGGGCACCACTCCAGATGATCACGTACCCGTCGTGTGTAATCGCGCCCTGTCCCGCTCGTCGGGTCTCTTGGAGTCTGGGAAATCGTAGACATACAGACAGGTAGTTTTCTCTGACGCCATGATTCCATTGTTAATCTGTCTCTGACTCTTTTCTATGATAGGGATGCACTACTGGTTGTGTCATATTAAGAAAAATAAAAAAATAAAAACATAAACATACAGATACCGCGTGGTTTGTACCCTATCTTTGTTTTGTTTCCCCGCGGCGTCGTATGTGCCGGGTTTTGATTTGAGACCACGGGCTTCCCATTTTTTGTGGACTATCCGGCAGTCTATAGAGCTAATAATGTAAGAAACAACAACAACAACAACAATAAGAAGATAGCTACCAAACTGCCTTGTTGAGCCTGTTACCCACAGGGGGGTTATCGTTGTATGCTGTCTGGGAAACCGTAGTCATACAGGCAGCCTTTCGCTCAAGCGATGGATTCATTGCTAAGCTATCTTATGTGGAGAACACCTTCATAAAGGTCGAAACTTCCCAACGTCTGTCGAGGACGACCCTCTTTTCCACATTTAGAGTTATTTCTAAGATAGAGATGGATTTGTTGTGTGATACTAGGAAAATAAAAAAAAAACTTTGAAATCCCCGCCTGGTCGGGATTCGATGTTCTTCGCAGTGCTTGCTGGTATTGCGCCCAGTCGATGGCTCGATGGCGCCGTGAAGCCGCGATTCCGTGGATATTGCTAGCAGTGACTAGGCCACTACCTGTGGATGTTGTGGCGCCACAGGCATTTGCCAACGACCATGACCACGACTCAGTCACACATCAATTTTCGGGAAATCTTTTCTTGCCACGGAGCCCCCAAAATGCAAACCTCCCCAATGCAGAGTTTGCCTCGGCGGAGCTCCCGCGCCGCCTGAAACGTTGCCTTGTGCATTGTGTTGCCTGCTTGCTTGGACACAGCACAGCACAGACAAATAGGCCGGTGGTTAGCTGGGGCTGGTGTGAGCCGTGACGGGAGGAGGCGTTGAAAATGCGGTGGAGTCTTCCTTCAGCGGCAGCAGCTTTGGCCATCACATGTGCTTCGTGTGAAGCTTTCCATGTGTTCCCAAGTAGCGGTAGCAGCCCATGCATACGATCTGTCCCAGAGGCCAGCAGCAGCAGCAGCGGCAGCAGCATGCCAACAACCGAGGTCGATGGTCCCACGAAGACCAGTTATCCTGGACCTGTGATACCTAGAGTAGGTGGGGCGATGCCAGAGCAGCGGCCGGGATGGTTCAGGGTGCCTGCCCCTGGGGGTAAACATTCCAAGGTCGGTCTAACGATGGATACAGCAGCAGCAGACTAGTACAGCAGTGACGGTGGGCGACAAGGTGCAAGCGCGAGGACTTGCGTTCTTGGCGTTCACTGGTGTGTTTTCCCGTTTCATTTTGGAATATCTGGCTATGTATTTAGCTGCGTTTTCCACACTTCATGGTGGATTCATGTTCGTATCGCACACCTTGTCAACTTTCCCCCCGGTCTTGGTGAACACCAAAACCTTCAGTTACGACACTGCTACAAGTGCACAAACCCAAGTGCACACACGCCTTGTGTGACACGTCTTATTCTACAATATACATCCGACGAACTCGAAGTTCCCGGAGAACCAACTGCCATGCCACCTTGTTTGTTTGTGTCGTCCGCATTCAAACACGCACGCATGGGTCTTGTCCGTTGGTCTGCTGATACCACATGGGATGTTGACTTGTTGTGTGGGATGGGAAAAAGACCAGGTTGGCATCAGACAACGAAGCAGTTCGCCCTACAGGCACAGCAGGCAGTTGTAGAATTGGTAGGATAACCTTCGCACAAACAAACCCTGGTGCCTGCCCGCTCGCTACCCGCCCGCCTTCTCTCCTTTGCCTCCTGATCAGTACGAAGAGCTCAAGTCCTCGCTGAAAGAGCTCAACCTGCACACCGTGTGCGAAGAGGCCCAGTGCCCCAACATCGGGGAATGCTGGAACGGGGGCACGGGCACCATCATGCTGCTGGGGGACACTTGCACACGGGGTTGCAAGTTTTGCGCGGTTAAGACGTCGCAGAAACCGCCGGAGCCGGACCCGTTTGAGCCATTCCACACAGCAGAGGTTCGGTTGGGTCCATGCGTGTTGTTTGGGGGGGTTGCTCGCGCGCTCGGCCCCTTTTTCTCGTCGGTGTTCTTGTCCGCTTAGTCTATGTTGTTTTTGGTTTGTCCGGCAGATGTGTCGAGCGCACACTTCCCAGAGTAACCTGTGTCGAGGGGGTGCTCGTGATATGGCCAGGCATCGCTTTGTTCGGTACATGTGCAAGTGTACGTGTACAAGCTCATGCATGGCATCCTTTTGCACGGAACGTGAACCAATCAACAACAGGCGATCTCCAGGTGGGGAATCAACTATGTCGTGCTGACCTCGGTAGATCGTGATGACCTTGAGGACGGCGGGGCTAACCACTTCGCTACCACGGTTGAGCTCATCAAAACCGCGAAGTCGGACATGCTGGTAGAGTGCCTGGTCAGCGACTTCAGAGGGGACTACGCGGCCGTCGATGTGAGATAGCGATGAGGACAGCACGATACCATGCGCACCGCTTGTCGCCGGAAGCCGGAAAAGCATCCAATGCCATCGCGTTCCGTGGAGGGCTGTTTCAGAGAAGATTGGCCAGATGTAGACTAGACTCGTCACGTATCTGCTCCTTTTTCACATGGTTTTGCGACGTTGAAGGCCTGGCCGTCCTCTGGTACTTATACCGGCGGCATTGTATTTTTCTTGTTTGGTAGTGCCTAGCTCCACAGCAGCTGCCGTCGGCAAGGACACGCCTCACGATTCAAGCCCGCGATATTCCGTAAGCAACTAGTGCCAACATGGGAGCGCATGTATCACGTCCAACTATGTTCGGAATGCTTGTACCTTGTGCGCATCTTGTTCAGTGATTCGTCCCCCCCTTTGACCTCAGAGGCTAGCGACGTCCGGCCTGGACGTGTACGCGCACAACATCGAGACGGTCAGACGGTTACAGCCCTACGTCCGCGACAAGAGGGCGGGCTATGACCAGTCTTTGTCTGTGCTCCGTAGGGCCAAGATTGCCGGGGAAGCTACGGGGGTGTACACCAAGACTTCCCTCATGCTGGGGCTAGGAGAGACGGAGGAGGAGATATTGGAGGTGGGGTGTTACACTGGTGTTGTTCAGTTGAGATGGGCTTTTATTCACGTTCGAAGTAGCGCATTTCACAGCGTTTCCGTATTCAGTCTCCACAGGCTCTTTAGAAACGCAGGAAAGAAGTAAATGCGAAGAATCCCTGTGCATCGCCAATGATTGGATGCGATTTGCTGCCTTCACGTTTTCTAGGCCCCGGAATTCCCACATTGTCATCGCTTGTACCCAGACCATGCGAGATCTCCGGGAAGCCGGTGTTGACGTGCTGACGCTGGGCCAATACTTGCGACCAACGGACCACCACCTGGCGGTTGTTGACTACGTTACGCCCGAGAAGTTCGACCAGTACGCACGGCAAGGGGACGCGCTAGGCTTTAGTTACGTTGCCAGCGGACCGATGGTGCGCTCGTCCTACAAGGCTGGCGAGTTTTTCATGGAGAACATGATCCGCCGAGGTCGACAAGGGGAAGATGCCGTGGCAGCTGCAATGGCGGTTGCCTCAGCGATGGATCCGAATGCCCGCTAGCGTTTTGTAGTGAAGAGGTTTTGGTTTTGGTTTGCAGCGTAAGAGTGGGGAGAGTGGCGGGACACTCAAGTCATGTCGATCGTATAGAGTGGAGGAAACGTTTACATGGTTTTGGCGAGAAGGGTGGGGCGCAACGAAGAGCTGTTCGATCACACCGTGCGTTGCTCGATATTGCGACATGTGATAAAAAATTGTGCAAGTTGAGTCACGAAACCTTCGCTTTGTCGCGGCGATGGCCGACATTGTCAGAGCGACGAAGCGCCGGAGCTGCACTTACCAAGGTCCATGTAATTTCACGAAGTCAAGTTGATGACGTGCTGATTCCAATTTGGTCGCTCACGGTTCAGACGTTTGGCCAGCTATTCTACCTTCTGCATAGTACGGGGCATGGAGGAAAACTATACAGATGCAGCCATGAGAGCGTCAACCCGCAATTTACTCCAAAAAGCTTATCGCTGGCATTCTTGAGCGGCTGTGTTGACTGCCATGCTGGAGAATTTCGAACTGGATTCTTGAATGGTGACGTTGCCACAACCATGTTGCATTTTATGACCTACAGTAGCCACGCAAAAATCTTGAAGTCCGAACAAAAACATGCACCTTTCTTCGCTTTCATCATTGCCTTCAAATTTCTGGTTGGTTGTGTGGAGCCCAGGATACCGTAGACGACACAAGATAACACACCCCGGTGAAAACATTTTGGGCTTCAAAAATATGATCACCGGGTGTGGTATCTCACGTAGCCCGGGTGATAAAGTGCAGCTCGCAGGGCCCGCTGAGGGGGTATGATAGTACGTCCGAACACCCACAGGGGGTGTTATATATGAGGACTTGATGAAAAGGGGGTGTGATAATGACGTGGCGTGAAAAAACGAGGGTGTTATAACTTGTAGAGGTGAACCGCTGCTGCCGCACACTTGATGGCATGTGGTATTGGAGGTGTGTGTGTGATAGCCATTCCTGTACGAACACTTCATGAATTGTGGTTCTGCGGAATGTTGTAAAGACAGAGCTCAACGGAGGTGACAAAACTCCTGAGCACATGACCTCGGTGGCCGCAGAGTGCCCCAACCGTCCTGCCCCCTCACACAAAATAGTAGGCTGTGTACCTTGCTATTGGGTACGACCAAAAGGACAGTTACGCAGATGTTGTGTGTGTGCGATGCTCACATGCCCACCGGGCAGATGCTGTATCACACCGGTGATAGAAGGGCCCTATTTATGTATGCGGCGTAACCTCAAGGGGTGTGTTATCGTATGTGACCCGGTGATAAATCGATGGTTTGTCAGAAACGCCCAAAATCATCACCGGGGTGTCGTGTTCTGTGGGGGGTGTAGTTTCTTATGTGGGTGTGTTATCTTGTGTGGTCTACGGTATGTTGTTGTTTTTCTCCCATCATTGGACTCTGTCGTCTGCCCCTCTGGCCCCTATCCTCCACTTTTACTAGCTAGCCGACCCAACCGGGGTCACATAGGAGGGGGGGGTTGGACCCCCTCCTGCGGTTCATGCCTGAGGTATTTTTATCGCGAGAAGGGTACAGCAATCCCTTCCCTCGCGACATACGAAGTCGATTATGGTTTACTAACAAACGAGCTTTGCAGCTCGTCGCTTTCATCCTAGACCAGGATTTATTTAGTGAGAAAAGAACTCTCTCTGCCGGGACTCGAACCCATGACCTGGCCCTTGTAGCAGGCTGCGAGGCTACCCACTAGACCAGCGGGGCGACCGGTGTGTATCTTCCGATGAGGTAACGATGAAAAGTTTCGGTGAGCGGCGGAATTTGTACCCGTGTTTTTTGCAATCGAAAGCAGACGCCCTTGACATATCTCTTCCTCGACGCCATTGTGAAAAGAGGGAATCGTCCTCCACAGATGTTGGGGAGACTGTACCTTGTGAGGGTGGTTTCCACTGTTACAGCTACCTTTCTTTCCCATTATTTTGTAGGCAGCGCGGACCGTAAAGACAGAGTGTATCATCATTTCATGCATCTACATCATTTGTGTGTTGTTGTTATTGTTGTTGTTGTTGTTGTTGTTGTTGTTGTTGTTGTTGTTGTTGTTGTTGTTGTTGTTGTTGATTTTCTATTATATATAGTCTAGTGATATATTTATTTTTTTATATGACAAAACGCGTCCATCTCTATCACAGATTACGTCGAAAATTAAATGAAACCGTCAAACATCCGAACCGGTGGCAAACGTACCGACTTCCTGAGCGCAACCCGCAAGTACAACCCTCACACAAGAAGGCGTTCTCCGCACGAGGACACGTCTCTTCGCCGAGGATCTTCTGCATGCAGACTGGATCCGATCTTTCGTTTTCGTTTCCTTTCATACTCGGCGGAGACTGCGATTAAATATTCGGTTGATATCACACGCGGCCGTGGATACCGAGAGGAACTCAACCTGAGCCGGAAGGAGGGACATATCACACTCCCATCATACGTACCCAGCCAAAGCGACAGCCATCTTCACCGCTGCAGGCCTTCGGCAGGATCGACGTCAAGTTTGGTTTATTTGGGAAAGAGCAAACCTGCTCTACTCATCCGCGACCGACGCAGTTATCCTGTCGTGTTGAGAATACATCGTTGACCGGCGGACCTTGCCGGTTGCCAATGGCGCGTACAAGGGGGGGTGGCGTAGTGAGCGGCTCGGCTGCCCGGCCACGTCGGAGTTTTGGGAAAGCAAGGTGAGTGAGGCTGATTTTGGTTGTGCGATGAATGAAGATGGAGAAGCAGAGGCTCGACACATGAATGTACATACCGATGGCGTGGTACTATGTTGACTGGTTTCAAGCCTAGTGTTGCTGGATAAGCACGGCTGACCCGGTTGACAGGAATGAAGAGATGGTAAAGTCGTTTATCAGGTTGCCCTCGTAGACAAGCAACAGAAGAGAGTGGGCGCCACGTGCGCCACAAAGCATCAAGCAACAGTCGCAAGAAATCCACCGACGTCAAAACGCACAGACTTCCCGCAACTCGGGACAATTTCAACTACCAAAGACACGTAGGGAGATAGTACAGCAGTACAGCAGCAGGGGTACAGACAGCACACGGCGGCTGCAGACCAGCATGGTAGAGGCGCCCGAGAGAAGCAGCAGCATTCAGATGCGCATGAAACACGACACTGCATGCAGCGTGTCACGACAGGACCGCCGATTTTCATATTGCATGGCTCCCACCATTTCATTTCCCTGCCGTTGTGTCTGCACGTCTTACAGCGTAGGCGTGCTCGGTGTTGGGATTTGTATGCAAGAACTGACTCTATTCTACTGCATGGGTTTTGTGCAGTATTGTGAAGGCGTGTCTCCAAGTCTGTAACCGTCAGGTGAAGACAGCTTGGGCGCCTGTGTTTTGGATCTAATGATCACTCTGTGTTGTATCTACCCAAACTGCGCCACCACTGCCAACTACACAACAAACAGCAACTACAATTCTGTTGTCAGGTCATGAGCCTAGCGTTTGGTAGGTAATTCACATCGAGTCACACCCCAGCAGCAGCATGGCGTCCGCCACGAACTACCTGAAACAAGGATACGTCCCGTTTAGCGGGAAGCCGGAAGATTTCCACGGCTGGAGTGGCCTGTTCTACTCCATCATGGATGAGCAAGGATTAGGCGACATCATGGCTGGGACGGAGACCGCCCCGGCATCGGCGGCCAGCAGCGCGGATTCGGATCGTGCTGCGTTCGACAGGACGACGCTGGAATTCAAACGTAAGAACGGCAAACTGTACACACGGTTAAACTTTGCTACGTCCGACTGCGCCGATGGATTCTCGAGCACTGCTTCCCAAGTCGTTCGAGCCTTCGGCCCCGCTCGCGTTGGTGAGCATGGGGACGGACGTGCGGCATACGTTGCCCTAGAAGCGAAGTACCGCCAGAAGGGCACCTATCGGATGCATGAACTGCAGCGAGAGTTAGGATCACTTGCGGTCACTGCCGAGGACGATTACGACCCGGCGCGTGCAATCCAAGACTTGCGTCGTATCAGTTCCGAACTCGAGTCACTTGGAGACAAGGTCGTACCAGCCCGCCAGACGCATATCTTGTTGAACGCGCTTCCTGACCAGCACTACGCCCAACTTAAGGCCGCGCTGGTGTGCGGACAAGCCGATGGCTCGGAGTTGGATCTTGACTTCGAAAATGTCGCGCACCGAGCGACCGCGTACCATACACTGCAGATCAGGGGGAAGGTTTCTGCCCACGGCCGTGCCCACAACACGGTCGTGCACGGGGGTGCACGTAGTTTCCGTAAGCAAGGCGGACGTGGCGGACGCGGCGGACGCAACCGCCAAGGCAATGGCAGCCAACCGACCGGAGACAACGGCAGCAGCGGCTCCTCCGCCGGAAATTCCAGAGGCGATAGCCCTGGAGGCGCGCAAGATGTGCGCGGGCGAGGCCGCGGCAACAAGTCCAATAAAGGCGGAAACAAAAGTCACCAAAAGGGCCGAGACCGTCAGGGACGCTGCAAGTACTGCCACAACTCTACAGAGCACGGATGGGACGGCTGCCCCCTTCGCCTGGAGAACGTGCGAGAGGATAACGCCCAACAGGCGAATGCCGCCGCGCCGGAACCGTCCACGCAGGCATGGTTCACCCGAGTCGAGGAATCCAGCGGTGAGCCGGAGGACTTTTCCATCTCGTTTGGAGAACCGCAGGCACTGGAGATGCCTGCCGCGGCGCTGCCGGAGAAGCGCGCCGCCGTGGGCGTGCAGGAAGGTCTTGTCATCTACGATCCGCAGGCACTGGAAATGCCTGCCGCGGCGCTGCCGGAGGAGCGCGCTGCTGCTGAGGAGGAGGTGCCGGAGGCGCCTGTTGCGGCGCTGCCAGAGGAGTGCGCTGCTGATGATGCGCAGGTGCTGGATGCGCCTGCTGTGGCGCTGCCCGATGAGCGCGCTGCTGCTGAGAAGCAGGTGGCGGAGGCGCCTGCCGCGGCGCTGCCAGAGGAGCGCGCTGCCGACGATGAGCAAGTGCTGGATACCCCTGCTGTGCCGCTGCCCGAGGAGCGTGCTGCTGATGCTGCTAGTGACGTTCAGGTGCAGAACCCGCTTGCTGATGCAACAGATATAGTTGCCTACACCAGTGTGTACCAGGTTAAGGACGAGTCCGCCAGGAGCACCATTATGTTCGTAGACACAGCAGCGTCTAGCCACATGGTTAGCGCGGATTCCTACGCATCTCGCCACGTGACCGAGAAGTCGGACTGCAACGTGAGGATCAAAGGTTCGTGTGGAACGTCGAGCGCGGCTCAGAAAGGTATCCTGCGTTTCGGCATCTCAAACGACCGGAACCAACTCGTCCCGGTGGAGCTACAAGTACTACTGGTTGACAACCTAGGAGCGAACATCCTCTCGGTCGGAGCCCTGAAGGAAAGGGGGGTGATGTGCGATCTTCTGTCTACTCCTCCAGCACTCCGTAGCAGCGATCAGGCCTTCCCCATCTCCACGGAGATTTCGCGGATGTACAGCGTGAACATTGTCCTCGACGACATGAGGATGGACGGGACCGCGATGCTGCTCAAGACGAAGGTGAATGCACACATGTGGCACCGGAGGATGGGCCACTGTAATCCGCGCGCCCTCCAGCAGCTGGCGAGGAAGGAGCATTCTGGGGTTAAATTTGACCAAAACATCGAGTCTGGCGACTGCGAGGTATGTGCTGTCGGCAACAGCAAGAAGTCTAGTCACCCACCGGCTAACCGACCTCGCGCCGGCACTCGTCTTGCGCTCTTGCACGTAGACACCTGGTCGCACTCCGTAAAATCTCTCGGTGGACACAAGGGTGCGGTGATGTTCACGTGTGACAATACCCGCATGAGGTTTGGTTTTCCCATCAAGAGCAAAGATGCAGCTGCTGAGGCGCTGGAAACTGTTGTCAAGGAGGAAGCCGACCCGGAAGGACTGTGTATCACCACGCTACACTGCGACGGAGGGGGCGAGTTCAAGGGAAGGTTCGCGGCGCTGGCAGCATCACTTGGAATCAAAATCGAGACCAACGCCCCGTACATGCCTCAAGGCAACGCCGTCGCCGAGCGTGGCTTTGGCACGGTCGCAGCCATAACGCGGCGCCTTCTTCTTGGGGCACCTCATCTACCGGAGAGTCTGTGGGCCGAAGCGTTCCAATACGCGATCTATATACTGAATCGCACGCCTACGGACGTCTTGGGCGGCAAGGCACCACTTGAGGTATGGGAGAACAAACCGCTTGGCAGCTTGCACCACATCCGCGAATTCGGTTCGGTATGCTTTAAGCACGTGGAAGCGGGGGACAGGCCCAACAAACTGGCTGCCAGGGCTGAGAAGATGTTTCTGGTCGGTGTCAACCCTAAAAGCCGGTCGTGGAGGCTATGGTCCCCTCGTGACAAGTTTAAGATCACCAACTCCGCCGAAGTTTCTATTCGCGAGAAAGCCCCGCGCGACGTGGTTCCCCCCAAGGCAGGGCATGATCCGCTGCCAGAGACTCCAATGATTTACCATCCCGGTCCGGAAGAGTCTGATGACGACGTCGACAGTGTGGTGGAGCCACAAGACGAGCAGAAGGATAACGAGCCGGAGCCCACGCCTCAGGCGCAAGAGCCGGGCCCCCGTCGCAGCACCAGGAACCCCAAGCCGACTGAACGTCTGAACCTGTTTACCTTTGCCACGGAGGAGGAGGCCTTCGAGCAAGTGGAACGCTCCCTGCTCACCGGAAGCTCGCTTGGCAACAACGGGACTGGCAACCCTGGCGAAGTGGGCTACAGGGCTCCCGACCCTTCGAGCTACGACGAAGCGATCCGTGGGCAGGATGCTCTAGACTGGCAAGAGTCCATGCGGAACGAAAACCAGTCGCTTGTCGACCTTGATGTGTACGACTGGGTCGAGCCGCCGACGAGTGCCCAGGACCAGCCGATCCCGTCAAGGTACCTTTATAAGCGGAAGTACAAGAATGGCGAGCTTGCTCGACTGAAGAGCCGCGTTGTGGTCCAAGGCTTTCACCAAGCAGACACGGGCGAGGATAAAGCGGCGCCTGTGGCGTCCATGGAATCCGTCCACCTGCTGATTGCTATCGCAGCCAAGAATGGTTTTGGCCTGAAGCAAGCCGATATCAAGACGGCATTCCTCCACGCGCGGGTTCCTGCAAATGCGAAACCGATCTACGTCATCCCTCCGAAAGGGTTCGAGTGCTCTCCGGAACAACAGGGAAAAGTGTGGCGACTCAAGGCGTGGCTCTACGGGCTGCGCCTCTCTCCGAAGGGCTGGAACGGCACCTTCCACGACTTCCTGCTGGAGATCGGGTTCGTTCAGAGTACGGCGGACCCCTGTCTCTACATCCTTAACGCGGGAGGGGTCCTCCTTCTCGTGTACGTCGACGACATTCTTTTGTCGGGAAGCGACGAAGCGCAGGTGATGCGGGTCGTCGAGCAGCTGAAGGAGCGGTTCGACACAGTGTTCCTGGGAGATGCACAGTTCCTGCTCGGTATGGCACTTGAGAGGAACGTCGACGCCGGAACGATCTTCCTGTCGCAGGAGATGTACGCGAAGGCCGTACTTGACAAGTTCGGAATGGCCGACGCGCACTCTACGAAGACGCCTGCGGAGGCTGGGCCTATCAGCACCGTGGAGGAGAAGGTTTTGTCTCCAGAGGACACGGTGTACTTCCGGTCCGCCACGGGCAGTCTCCTGTATCTCAGCAGGGGTTCGAGGCCGGATATTACCCACTCGGTGATGGTGCTTACGAAGAGCATGGCGAAACCGGGTCCCAAGGCGATGGCAAAGCTGAAGCGGGTTCTCAGGTATCTAAAAGGGACAACCACTATCGGGATCACATACACCGAAGACGCCGACGGCGGAGACAAGCTAACGGCGTACGCGGATTCTGACTTTGCCGGTGACCAAGACAAGGGCTACTCCACAACCGGTGTCGTTCTCTATCTCGCAGGTGGCCCAGTGATCTGGATAGCCAAGAATCAAACGGTGCTGGCCATCTCCACGTTCGAGGCAGAAGTCGTCGCGCTGTCCAAGGCGTGCCTCATGGTTATACATTTTCGAAATTTGCTAGAGTCGTTGAAGATGAAGCAGAAGCAAGCAACAGTATTGTACGAGGACAACGCGGGTGCCGTAGCGTTCGCAAAGGGTAGCAAAATCACGCCCCGCACGAAGCACATCGACGTGAAGTTCCACCACGTCCGGCACCTAGAGGACCAAAACGTGGTAGATGTAACTTACATCGACACCAACAGGCAGAGGGCAGACATATTGACCAAAAGTTCGGGAGCTGTGAAGTTCCTGCAGAACCGCCTTATTTTGCTTGGAGTGTGAGTACCTCCCCTTACCGAAATCAGACCATATGTCTTAAAAGGGTTGGACGGTACATGGAATTCGCTGCCCAGAAAACTCTGGCAGTTAGTGATGAGTATTCAATTTGAATTGTTCGAGAGCATGCATTCATGTTGATAGCATTTGTCGAGAGGACACTGGTATTTGTTTCGAGAGGACACTGAGAGAAAGAATTTTGTGTCTTATGTATCAGAGCTAGTCATGACGTAGTTCTTGAGAGGACATGTTGGGATTTGTATGCAAGAACTGACTCTATTCTACTGCATGGGTTTTGTGCAGTATTGTGAAGGCGTGTCTCCAAGTCTGTAACCGTCAGGTGAAGACAGCTTGGGCGCCTGTGTTTTGGATCTAATGATCACTCTGTGTTGTATCTACCCAAACTGCGCCACCACTGCCAACTACACAACAAACAGCAACTACAATTCTGTTGTCACTCGGTTGGCTGTGCTCTAGGCTTCATCAAAGGTTTATCATCTATCTCCCGTCGATGGTTAGCGTGTATGTTTGTGTGTACGTATATTGAGTGTCTTTTTATTTCCTTTGCCCTCATGACATCAGCGTGCCGTCATCCCGTCGGCCTAACATTTGTCCTGGTACATCACGTATAGTTTGGCAGGAAAACGAGGGAGCGGTGTGGCCGCGCTTCCTGGGCAACCTCCTGGTGGAACGGCAGGAACAGAAACCGTGGCCGCCGCTCCACCGCCGTTTCCTGGGTTTGGCAGCACCTTCGCGAGACTGGCAAGGGAACCGCTAACGCTGTCACCAAGCCCTCTTGGTGCAGGAAACTACCTGGATTTTCGATCGCACAATATTGGAAGCTTGGCGATGGGGGGCAGGGCGATGGGGAATGACTCAATGTCAACGGGCACAGAAGCAGCAGCTGGAGACCAAGACAGCGGTGGCGGTGGAGATGGAGATGACGTTGGGGATGCTGATTTCCTTCAAGGGATATTTGATGAGGCCATCGGTCTGGACGATGTTATCGCTGACTCCATCAGCTGTTCTCCCTCGGTCGATGACTGCGAGGACAACAGGTGCGTGCGTTTTTATACCTGACGCAGAGAAACCTCACCCGTTATATAGCTAGCTTGCAACAGAGTGCTAGTCTACTGAGTACACGGAGCCAGATACACCGTTGGTAGCCTGTGACTTGTTAGCACGAGTACCATTAAACGTGTAAGTAACTGCACGGGAGCCGCGGGCGGAGGTAGTGCATGCAGCACTTGCGCTTGCTGTAGCCACCGTTCACTACAGACCCCGTGCGTTGGTTTGAAACACACTACTTTTCGTGTGTAATGTTGAGCAGCTTTTTTGTTTGGACTTCTCCTGGTGTTTTTGTATTCCAGGGGAGGTGCGGACTGCAACACAAATCAGGATGACTCCCAGCGGTGCGCTGCTGTGCGAAGGTCAACGCTTTCTCCCCCAAAGGTCCCCGTGTGGCGCATGCTGTACATCGATCCCGATGTGGCCGATCCAAAACATGTCACAGAACTGTTGGAGAGTGCCGCTTCGCAGGCGCTCGGATGGGCTTGCGTGTTCGACGTGGCGACAGACATCGTGGAGGCGCTGGCAGATCTTCGCGGAGACACCATGTCGGTATACCGGGGGGTGTTCATCAACGAGTCGCTGTTCCGCCACAAGAAGTTGAACCAAGGGAAAGCAACGGACAAATCGATCTTGGGCAAGCATTTGTCCAAGTTTCTTCGGGAAGCCGGGATGTCGAGCGCCCGCATCATCTTGCTCGTAGCTGGCGACGTCGACTTTGACACCGCCGATGCCGGATTGCACGGCCTGAGTGCGGTCTTGCGAAAACCCTTCACAAAGACGGGCTTGATGGATATCTTGCGCGGCCTGTATCTCAGCAACGAGTCGAGGTCTGGAGCCGCTGCGGCCCCGTTGTCAAACCCGGAACCCCTCGGCGTTCCGTTTCCAGGGCAGTATAGATCAAGGCCACCAGAGGGAGTTCCACTAGCGGCGGCCGCGGCCGCGGCCGAGGCGGCAGCAGCAGCAGGTGGAACCACTCCATCTACTATCCACGTGGGTGCGCCGGTTCTAGCACCGTCTCAATACCCGGCATGCTTGGGATTCACGCCGTTCACTCACCCAATGCTCAATCCGTACAACTTGCCTCTAGCCTTGCTTCGATCGGGGAAGCCAAAAGCGTGGCCCCGGAGAAGGTACACCAACATCGCCCCGAGAGAGAAAGATGACGACCTTGGTGACCAGTCTGCCCCGGTGCTGGATGGCGCAAGTCCGGAAGATGTCACGGCGGCAGCCGATGAGTGTGGTGCTGCTATAGCCGTCTCGGAACAGACCGCGGGGCAGGCGATTTAGCCACATATGCTCAAGGGTTGGCAGGAGGCGTTACCCCAGCAAGTGGTGTGGCTGTGCAATAGCAGCTAGAGGTTTTCTGGTCAGTTCGGCATCATTGATAGATAGAGAGCTTTCGGGCGAGCAATGCGTGCGAAGTTGGGCTTGACGGGCGCGCGATTTGTCCAGTGCCTCGAGAAAAGACTCTTGTACTGTCGCCAGGCAGCCGGTTAGCGCGGTCGACGTGACGTACACTGAGAACATACACCGATGCTGAAATTCGACCGACTGCGCGTTGGTACAGCAGTGGTTGTAGCGTTGTTCGGCGTGGGAGGCAGCTAGACTATGTATGTGCGCGCGCGGGGTTGGGGGGGGACCTCAGTCCTACTTCACAAGCGTTGTGATCTATTGTACGCTGTTCGATGGTTGGACCCCCATTCAACAGGTTGGGCTTGGATTCTCCCGGTCATTCACGGTCTTGCGGTAGGGTATCCCCAATGGACCGAGTGCCAAGGCTGGGGTAGAGTATGCCCACCAGCAGAGGTCAATTCAGACATTTTTAGCTTCTCTGAACATGTAGAACCCGTGGTGTTCATTCTCGGCGCTGGAAGCGGCATGGCCGATTGCTTTTAACACAGCCGTCTAAGGAAAAAAACGAACACGTACACGAGGTGACAATACCCGCACTTAATATCCACATGAGGGGGGTCGGTCCATACACGTGTCGAGGATTGTGCCATCGAGGTCCTGCCAGTGCTTCCAGTCGACCTTGGCCAAAAACTGAAAAAAAGCACGCGCGAAATGCCACCAAGTTCTCGACCTATGCATATGTACACAATCTGTTCTGCACTACGACCCCGGCAGAGCACCCATGAACCAGTTCCAAGTGTAATACGCTCCAGTACGAGGCAAAAATTCAACGCGACGTTGGCAACCGGGCAATTGCGGCTTGATCAACGTCGGGTTGTCTCATTTTTAAAACAAACTAATGAAGTTCTAACACTTGACGAAAGGTTACGGTTCGCAAGCGAAACATCAGCAACCAACGGTTACAGCGGAAATAGACAAACGTCAATGATGTTTGATGTGGTTCGCCTAACCTTGATGGTAACTCAGGGCTTCAAGACCTACAACCGCAACAGCCCAACATAAAGGCGACAGCCACTGTAACTCCGACGTCTCGAACGGACGCGCACGACCAGTGACCCTGAAACGCGAGGGGCGATCAAAGGTCAAGGAAGGCACTTGCTTGAGTTAATGCAGGGTCGCTTTGCCCCGCTGCAGCCGCCGCATTGTCGGCGCCATGTACATTGTCCGAGCCGAGCGAGGATTGATTACAGGCAACGGGATCCGCAACCGGCGCTGTCGCTGCAGCCGTAGCCGTAGCGGTGGCGGGGCTGCTGCTTCTGCTGCTGCTGCTGCTGCTGCTGCTGCTGCTGTGACCACCTTTGTCGTTACCATCGCTTAAACGGGGTGTGCGACTGCACATGTCGGGCGGCGATACCCCCTGTCCCTGGTGAAGGTACCACGCTCCCTTTGGGCGCAAGTTGTCGATGCCGATCGGGGGTGAATCTCCCTGACCGCAGAAGAAGTCCGGATGCTCGATCGACAGCCTCTGCTCGTGGACCCACGTCTCATGCTCCCCGTTGCTGCCTGGCTCCGTCTTCACGGAGCTCCTCTGGCCTTGCCGGTCATGATCGAAAGCAATTTGGAAGATCCCGCTGCGGTTCATCTGCCCGACGGAGACGGTTGATTGGTGGCATAGTAAAAGATTCTCATGTGTTAGAATTCAAACATCATGCCGGGCAACAATAACAGCGATTGTGTGTTGCTGATAGCAGTGACGTACCGTTGGTTCAGAAATTCTTAGTCGTCGCTCACGGCAGGAAAGAAACGTGCACTCTGTCGGAAAACCAAGCCACCTGCTGCTTGATAGCTCTCGGTGTGCTGCTTGTGACCAACGGCTCTGCCGTCTTTCTGAGAGACGAGACCGTAACCGCAATTGGAGTGGGAGGGAGGAAACACGTTTCATGCATCTTGTGCGTACGGTAGCTGGTTGCGGATCGTGATGAATGCGAAACACGAAATCGAAAGGAAACGATTTGGTGGAAGCAGAGAGAGACAATCAGCGCACTGCACGTTAACCCCTTTGGGTCTACCTCTTTTTTATTTTGCGGCAAAAAAAAAAGGGAGGAGAGAGTGCGGGGAGAGACAGAAGTACAGCAGCAGAGAGAAGACGAAGTGCCCCTTTTGGCTGTCCTCCTGTCTTTGCTTTGGTGGCTTCCTAGATTCGGGCGAGGGCATGTATGTGGAGCTATTGATGTGTGTCTCTGTGAAAGGATATGGGGAGAGATTCATGTTGGTATTCGCATTTAGAGCAGTGTGCATTTTTCTAATTTTGGCCCTTCCAGGGACCTTGATATTTCCCGCTGGCACTGACGTCTTTCCATTGGCCACCGGGTAGCGCGGTCGATGCGAATAATAAAGACACACCTACATACTGACTTGCCAACACCTAGCGTGGAGGGATACAGGGCGGCAACTCCACGGCACGCCGCAACACCAGCATTTCGAAACAAATGATCAATCAATCATCTGCTTAAGAAAGAGCCAAGGGCCAACAAAAAAACGAATGGCGAGGTCGCGCACTCGCTCATGGATTTTTCTTCACAGTTGCTGATGCTCCCTTCCATCTCAAGCGTTTCAAGAAGCTCTCCTGCTCTACAGCAGTGTTTTTGGAGAACTCATTCACGAGGGGCGGATTGCTTTTGTGGCGCATCGTGGTACTCGGTAACCAGCACACGACACGACGCGACTCTTCCGACGCACAAACGTCGAAGTCGAGTGGTCATGTTACAGCAGCGAGGTCCGCCGTGGTGAACGTGACGAGTCAGTGCAATATCAAAACACATGCTCAGTCAGTCGTAGGGAGTCTCTCAACCCTCAACAAACAGGAACTCGCAACATCCTGGTCCCTGTTTCATGTCTGTGTGCCTCAAGGAATGCTGTGAGAGGAACACCGGTGGCCAGACCTTCATGTATTGAAAGACTGCTTGCCAAGGAGACGACGTGTTCGTGAGTACCGAGTGTCGCACACCCTCTCGCTTGGCGTTTCTTCTCCCTCTTGTTCTTCGAAGAGGGAACAGAAAAGCGCCGCTCGTCCAGCACCAAGGCCGTGGGAGGACATTAAACTCTTGGGATCAACCATCGACTGCTCATAACAGAGTGCTTCAAAGCTCTGAAACTTATATACTTCTGAAGGATATGATGTGCATAAATGATAGCTTCACATGTACGAAAGTCCGGGTGGGAATACACACAAGTCTCGGTAAAATTCAAACACAAATCGTTCACACCTCGTACAACACGGCAGTACAGCAGTACATGACCAAAGTGGAATACTGGGGAAAATTAGTCAATTCGTTTAAGTCATACACTTCAGCCACTTGTTGGCCGCCTATCAACTACTAAGCATGTGCCCACACAGGCTGGTGCGCTGGTACCACGTGTCCCGAATGCATGCGATACGTAGGACAACTACGACTATTAATGGCACGCGGACTGAGCAGTTCCACCGCACCTCCACCTCCACCTCTGCTCTACAGCATCTCCCGTAAGATCGACAATCCACATAGTCTATCATCACGAAAAAAGTACCAGGTAAGCACCAGGGTAAAGACCGGTGCCGTTTGCTCACCTCGCGCACGACCTCGCCCTTGATCCACACCTTCTCCCAGCTGCCTCTCAGCGATACGTCCCCCAAGACAGATACGAAATCTCCGACCTTGATACTCTTCCGAAGCTCCCGCAGCACGACGCCGAAGCTCGTCTTCCTCTTCTTCGCCACCGGCTTCTCCGCGGTACTGACCTGCTTCTTCCCCTGCGCAGGCCGCGGAGCGGGGTTGTGCTGCCGCTTGAGTGACTTGCTCGGCGGCGGGGCCTGCTTCGCGGGGGCGGTTTCTTCGTCTGCTACGTCTTTCGTCTGCTGAGTGTCTATGCTGGCCGCTGCCGGCGTGCTGCCATTAGCTGGCTCGCTTGTGGCGGCCTGTGTTGTAATGTTGGCGGGCTTCTTCGAGCTCTTCTTGGCCGATACAGCCTTCGCCCGGGAACCGTTGACAGGAACTCGTGACATGTTAGTAGCGCCATTGCTGTGGGGGCCAGCAGCAGCAGCGGAGGTCGTAGGTTCGCCACCGCCACGACCACCGCTGGTAGGTGCGGTTGCCGCCTCTGTCGTTTGTTGCGCTCTCTGACTGAAGAGGGTCGATAGCACCGTTTTGAGTTGATCGCCTTGGAGACCTTCATACGCGATATTGTTCGCCAAAGCATGCTTTACGGCCAGAATGTCATCCTGGATCACCTCGAGCTTAGACTTCTCCATTGCATACCCCTATCTGTCTTGGACAGATAACCCCCGCAAATGCATAGCTTGCAAGAAGCAACAAGGGCAGGGGCCCCTCTACTGTAGCTACGTTCCGCCGAGGGGGGGGGGTTCAATACGTAAGTGGTGCATGAGCGCCGTTTGCCCCTGGAGTCTTTGCACTTGCGCTGTTGTACGTTGTACATAAGACACGACACACGATTTTTAAAGCTCCAATACTCCACGACGCAGAGGATGCTTAAATCAAAGGATACGTTGTCGGAAAGGTCTCGACGAGACGGTCCCAACGCCTAACGCCATTTTCGGCACCTCACAGCTCTGTGCTTTTCCTTAAGAGTTGTGATCGAGTTTTGAAAATCGGGCATATGCAACCTACGGTGTGCATGCTATGCATACATCCACATGCATTCCACGCACGGGCGATGATAACATGATAGACCATGATACCGCTACCTGCCAGCTTTGCAAGTCTGTTCATAAAATATGCCGACCTAACATGACGGAGACACTATACAATAGCTGCTTCTTATTTACGGTATTGTTTGGCACACGGATGATCCTGGCCGATTTGCCGCATCACCCTACGGAGAAAATCAATCTGTTTAGGAGGTTGAGATATCTACCAAAAAATCTGTGGTTCACAAGTCTGTACCTGCTGAGCGGGGATCGTTCGTAGTGCGAGAGACGTCCAGATACCAGATAATATACTGCTGTACAGATCGATTATGCATGCATGCATGTGTTTTTTAGTGGAAATACTGAAGTGTGCGCGGATCTGAAGCATGCCCGCACAGCATGTTTTCCTTTGAAGCGCACGTTCGGCATGCTGCGCGTGCTCACGGTAGGTATAACACAATCACGGTAGGTTTCGTAAGCGTTTTACAATAGTACTTCACGGACGGACGGGCATCCGCGCTCAGCAACACGGAGGAGCAATACCAATGGTACATGGCTAGTCGTTGGCCTGTCGCCTGCATGATACAGCAGTACAACACTCATTCTTCGGGGATCGTGAGTCCCGCCTGGAACACACAACGGAAGCAATATTGCAGGTGCCTTGGTAAGGGGGATTTCCTCTACCAAGAATTACACCGCGTCAACCGCGACAAATAATTCATGATTATGTTTGTCCAGCCATGATACAACACTAGAAAGCATCCTGAAGCATTCCGTGCAAGCCGTGACCCCTCCCCCGGCTACTGCTGTATCTTCAACCATGCATTGACGATGTTAAGAGGTCGCGCAGACAACCACAACACTAACTACTTCGCATCTTTCCTATTCTAGTCCTCTTTGCGAGACCACAGCGAGCCTATATCCTTTCCCTCCACTTCCCCCACAACCGAGGTGCCAATCTTCTGGATCTCGTCCTGAATTGACCCAATCTCCCGGTTGGCATCAATCAGCTGCCACGCCACCCCAGAAGCCTGCGTCGACACGGACAGCAACAACGGACCGCCAAGAATCGGGTATTACGCGAACGGGTCTGTGCAAGCGTGGATCTATGTCCTACGAAAACACCCGTGCACAGGTGCCCGCGAGCTAGTGGGAGCGCGATCATTTCGTCGGTGGGTGGCGCACGATGCAACTGGATCGCTATCCGCACTCACTCAGGGATGGGAAAGTGCGTGAGGCGAGGCGTTCACAGGGCTGACAAGCCACCACAACTCGAGATACAGAGGAGAGGAGAGGAGAGAACTATCGTGTCATAAACACAGGAATATCTATGCAACCGCATCGAGACTAGCAAAACAGAAACAAATTCATACTGAACTGACATCGCAGAACAGAGTGCAGGCCCAGTCGAGTCTGTACACCTTGGGCCCGTTCATGGGGGGTCCAGGAATACAAAACGTGGTGGAAACAAAAAACTCGATGAAACGCTCATCAGAATAATCAACAGTTGATCCTTGGGGAACGGAAGAAATACATGCACAAAGAAGACACACCTTGTCTTCTTCCATAAGAGCCAAGAACGTCGCCCTGACTGTTCTTTGAAACTCCTCCTTCTCGTAACGTTCTTCTCCAAATTGTCCTCGCTGTGGTGTCGTTATATCACAAGTTTTGACCGTCAGGCGATGGTCAAGCAGCTGAAGCAGTGAGGCAGAGTGAGCTTCGTACAGTGTCGCTGCGAGAGCTGGCTGTGGTGGAACATATATTCTACCAGCTGCCGACATACAACACGCTCGGAATCTTTGACTTTCTGAAACGGGGTTGGTTTCTGAAAGCGAAGTAGGGCTCGATATTGAGCAATATTTCCGTCGAGCGCTGATTGCTTCCTGGCATCCCTGCGCAGGTATTGATATGCCGGAGGCGAGACTAATTCCAATACATACTGATGCTGCAGCGTCGAGAGTTCTTGTGGCTCAGTTGACCTGCACGACTCCCGGAAGGAAGATAATGGACGCCTGTGGCACCCGTACACAACGACAATATCATCACCTCATTTCGTCTCCAAGAGGCTTCATACGACAGACGCGATTAGCACCGACCTTCATGGCATCCTCTACGGAGATGTCAAGGAAAAGTATCTTGTCCGGCGCCGGGAGTCCTCGATCGGGGTCTTTGCACCACCTCACCGATAGCCCTGCTCGTAACGGCAACAGCAGTGGGAGGGTCAGAGACGACGCAGCATTGACGTGACTATCCAGCATGTGTGATACGGTTGTTTTATGCCAGGGATTCCTCTAATCGAGGTGAGCGTAGGTAGCGCTGCGGTGGAATTAAGAGTGATATATTTGTGCGGCACCTGGTCCATCATTCTCCAACCTGTCGTGTGCAGGACAACGGGACTCACGTCGGAGAGACGCAATGCTGAATTGTTGTTTGATTGTTTTCTTCGCACTAGAAACCTTTCCGGTCGCTGCTCAGTACGTGCTACCACCCCCACCGGTCCAACTGACGCCGATGCCTCCGCACGTATGTGGATTAAAAGGTTGCGGCAAATGGTCATGTGGCTCGGGGAAGAGACTACCGTGAGGATGCCATGCGAAAAATATCAAGCGCTACGACAAGAGGCATGCAAAGCCAGTCACCAACGACCGGCACCAGGGACAATCAACCTACAGCAATCCAAGACGACCACCAGACAGACCACCAGCACTCACCGGGTTTGGAAGCTGAAAAGGCGACTCCGCTGTAGGCGTACCGGTCACATACGACGGTAGTACCCACCTTGAGCAGCTCTCGGATTTTCGATCTGTCCACAACGCAAAGCACGACCCACGCATCGGTCATGATGGTGCATGCTGACTAACAGCACCCGCACAGTTGAACGCCTGTATCACGTCCTTTGTACTTGGAAGGAAGTCCTTGTACTGGCGGGGCCGGTTTGCTTCGTGTGGCCAGCGAACGGTCTCACTCAACTGTTGCTCTAAATAGTATCACTGGAGTGTTTAAAAATACACGATCCCCACGGTACCAGACAAGAAATAGTGAAGCGCAAAGACAATGACGACAGCAGAAGTCGTTTGCCAGCTCGCACCCAGAACATGGTTTGCGCCGTGTGATATCTTCACTGTAGCCGGACCCGATCCCACACCAAAACGTGGTGGCGAGAACTCACTCTGCCTCCCATCGATTCGCAGAGAAGAGGAGGTGAACGCAGCGATCGTCGATGCCCGTAGTGTTCTGCAGGAAGCCGTTGATCATCTGTCCAATCGGCGTTGTTCGATCTGTATGGCAGACGAGAGTCGCCAGCACCGTGCGGAACAGCAGTCAGTTGATCACACCCGCTGTACGTATCTCGCGTTGTTCTGACAGAATCGGCTATACGAATCAGATGACATGATTCCCACCGATTCTGCTGCACAGCTGCACTCCTGCGACTGCTGCATGTAGCGATATGGTGGTCCTCAAACACAAGACAAATTTCTTCGCCTCACTGGTGTAACCACGACCCCGTGGTGCATGGCAAAGAAACAGATCAATCTACCAGTAGATATTTGCTGCAAAGCAGTTCACGCACGGCGGCAGACAACGAGTCCAGCATGTACCAGTGGAATGGTATCGTCAAGAAACAGGACCGCTCGGCGGTTGAAAAAATTGAAAAGTCCGTACTTTGAACTATGCTGAGATTGCCACAATGCTACCTCATCATTCCACTGCCCGTTTCAAATAGCTATCTCTCACAAGAAGGTGTTCGATCGCATGCCACACACACGAGCCTCACGAGCAATCCCACAGAGGGCTTCACGCAACCGTGCGATGTCAATGTTCTCACCGGGAAAGCGCATGAAGCAGGCGTCGTGACCAGCCTGCTTTAGACTCTCCACCAACAAATTCGCCTGCGTCGTTTTCCCGCACCTATCCACGCCCTCGAACAGAATGAACGCTCCCCTTTTCGCGGGCCCAGCAGGCGCGTCTTTGGTGCTCGCCATGACAGCAGCAGGGCCAGTTCTGGTTGCCGCGGGCATGGATCCGTTGCTTCGTGGAACGAAGGCGGCCCTCGGTGACGGAGACCGTGACAATCGTGCCGCCGACGCGAAGCAGACTCGACAGCCGAGCAGCAACGCCGTGGTTGAGATGATGGCTCGAAGAATATTGACTTCGGTATTAACGTATACGAACCAGGTGTGTGTGCACGTTGTAGCGACGCCCCCACTAGACTACTACACTGTTGCCGCTGGACGTGCAGCGACCCGAGGGCGGGGGATACGCGAATGAATTCCAATCCCGCCGCTTCAGCTCCGCAGATTCATTTTTGAAATTCTCATGGTTGATTTGAAGCAGGCAGTATATGTCCCCTTTTCCTGTCTCTGCCGTTGTCTATGCGCTCGGTCGTCTACGTGTGCCTATCCGTCTACGTTTGCCTGTGTGGGTGCGTGGGCGAGCCATGGCAGAAGAGCTGGATAGGGAGAGACCGCTCTTCAACGATGAGGTGGCGGTGCAGGTCAAGCTTCCTGAAAACGTATGCAAGACCTTGGCTCTCACGGTGCGGGTGCTGCAGGGGTCACGTCTGGCGCCGGTGGGCAGTGGAGGCGGCCAGAGGGAGGGCGTCCTGCACATCGAGGTCACAGATGAGCTCGACCCTTTCTTCCTCTACACACTGCAGGTGCGTGCCTACGTTGCAATTCGTGCGGGGCAGATTTGACCGCCCGTACGTAAATGCGTGCGTTACCTTTTCTTTTTTCCATGTACAACAATACTGCTGAAATCCGTCGGCAAGTCTCGTGCTTCGCCCAAGTTCGCTCGTCACGCAGCCAACTGCTGGTACCAACTGCCTGTTGTTGTTGGCGACTTGTGTTGGTAATTGGCCTGTTGTTGGCGACTTGTGTTGGTAATTGGATCGTGCGGATAACAACTAGAGCATGCGTGCTGCTCCCCTATGCTTTAGTGCCCACTGGCGCTGCCGAGCATCCCAACGAACTCGCTTCGTTGACTCGTTTAGAAGTCAGATGGCGCCCAGTCTTTCAGCAGTACAGCAGTAGTATTTGTAGTTCAACCGCACCGAACGTCATACATATCAACCTGCAGGTCGGCGAAGATGACTACCATCAGCTGAAGCACGACCAGTGCCTCCGGGTAGACTTCAAGTCTTTCCCGAGGAAGTTCATCGAGCTCCTCGAGAGCTGCCGCGCCAGCAGCGGAGCTGCTGCTGTGGACCCCGAGTCCCGGAACGGCTACACTCCAGGCGAGGAAGGAGGAGGCAGGCCGTCGAGAGGGGAACCGCTGCTGCCGTCGTCAGGAGAGCCCTCTTTCTTGGCGAGGTTGGAAACCGTTGTCCCCGGAGGCTTCTCCCTGTTCTCGGTCGTGGAGACCAATCCATTCAAGGAGCTCACCCACCTGAGCCTCAAGTTCCGAGTGGGGAACGATGCGTCAATCAAGACGTACCTTGCGGCACGACTCCGACAGGTATGGTACCGTGGACATGCTTGTTGGTTCTCCAGTGTGATACGTTGGGCGTTGGGCGTCTCGGTGTGTTTGATGTAGAGAACGTTCGATTTATGCTGGGCGCGGTGTACAGTAGTTCAAGCTTGGCTTCTATCATGCTTTCGACTGGTCTGTTACTAGCTGTTATCGTAAGGAAGGGGGCTACAGCAGTGGTTCCATATGGACCCCGCCCATGCTTCCCACACTTGAAAATAGAAGCAGCCACGTATGCAACACAACAGTTGTCGCGCCGGTTCCAAAAACAACGGCAGCACTTGTAGAAGCTGCACAACTGCCTATTTTAAAGTCAAGGAGAGTTTCCGTAGGTTCATGCGCCGCTGATCAGGTCCTCTCGAGGTCTTGCAGGATGTGGACGCCACGCTCAGCGCTGTTGCTTTGCTCACCTTCCTTTCGGCCGCTCCGCGCATGCGTTCCACGCTTTCTCTCTTCTTTTTTCTTCTTGATACCGTTGGCATGCATACGTGCAGCTCAAGGCTGAGGTGTCGGTGACGTCATCCACCCTGGAGGACACAAGAACAGCCCTGGCTCGAGAGGGTGATACGCGCGCACGGCTGGACTCGGAAGTTTCGGCGTTACGCTTGGATCGCGAACGGGATCTGCGAGACTTGCGGGCGGCACACAGCGCGGAGTTAACCGCGGCTCGGGAGGAGGGGGTGCGCAGGGCGGAGGAGGCGGCAGCAGCAAGATCTGCGGAGGTATGTGTGTACGGTGCAGTCTCGCTTCGGCGAACTTGTGTGTTCACTGCTGAGGCTGGGAGCACGATTCACAATCACGTGCACAACCAAAGGCAGAGCTTGATAGATTTGTTTGTTGCCCTCTTGCATCTTACGTTCACTCTCCCGCCGTCTGCTCACGTCGGTCGCGACAGCAAAGTTCCCTACCTGACCCTCCGCCCCGCCCCTCTCCCAATCGTCCCGGCCTACTCGACCCCTCCCCTTTGCCAAAGATGGGCGCGTTGCGACGGAAGGCCGAGGAAGACGTCGCCCAAGTCTCGCAGCGCCTGCGGCAGTCCGAGCAGCGGAGAGAGGAGCTGACCGACCTTAAGTTCGCGCACGAGGCGGAGTTGCGAGAGCTGAGGGGGAGGAGCGAGGCGGGCGAGGCCGGACGGGAAGCTGCCACTAGCGACGCCAAGGCTCTGAGGGAAGCGAACAGAGCGCTAGAGGCCAGAGCTTTCGAGGCCGAGAGGGAAGCCGACCGCCTCCGCCTGCATGGTGCCGCGCTCGCTCAGCAGGTATGCGTGAGGTTTGCGCGGGTCGTGGGGCGGGTGTTTATCAAGTACACACGTGCTTGTGCTAGTCCTGTCGACGTATGCTGTTTTCGTATAGCGGCCGAAAATTCGCATTTTCAGTCCTTTGACGCGTCTCTGCAAGCACTGCGTATCCGGCTCGATGCTTTGTGTATCCCCCAGCAGCAACGTGTGGCCATTCTTTGGCGGCCCGGTACTGGCCATTGGTACGGAAGACTGCTGTGGTTAGGGATACAAGTAGCCAGGTGGTGCTCTCTCAGCCCTAATCAATTCTTTGAGACCCTCCGCACATGCCTTCGGTATATCTCATCATACCACACCCACTCTCTCACAGGTCGTAATTGCAGCTACTCTTAGAACTGGTTTTTGCGATTCGCCGCCGTGACTTGTGCTGTGCCGTAAAGTTGAGGCGTTGGCCCTTATATCGATCTATCGCGAGATAGCGCGGCAGCTCTCGAAGCTAATAATTGGTCTATCACTTGCTCGAAACAGCGGGGCTAAGGCTGGTTATTAACGCAACGGAAAATTCATACATTTTATCACGGAACGGTGAAAAGAAGACCCGATTATTTTTCACTTGTTCTTTCCGTGATGTCATCGCAAAAAGTACGTTTCCTTCCCTGAACACACGCTTTGCTCGGCACACAACAGGTTGACTTGGTTTTGCTCATCATAGAGCAGTGGTAAAAGCGCAATGACCAGCACCTGCCACAAAGGACAGCACACTTAGAAAGATCACGTCCACCCGGTCTGCTGTTTTCACTTTTCGGCAACAACAGGCGCAGGGCAGAGTGTCGAAACCTCGGTGTTGCTTGCGATTTCTTGAGTTTGCCGGCTCATTTGTCACGGTTGCCACTCCCTTATTTGACCACCACGTGCCGAAAGGTCGACGAGCTCAACAATCATAGGGCGGTAGCAGGGCTGACGGCCAGCATCATATAGATGGCCAATCCGAAAGAATTAATCAGCGCGTCGGAGACCCTGTTGTTGCGCATCTTCTGCTGCGTGGTGCCGTGGATTGATGTTGACGTGTCCGACCAAAAACAGATCATTCATCTTGCCGCATTTTTTCCGACGGCATTTTGGTGAGGTGGCACACGTTTCTCACACACCTTATTGAGCAGCACCCACGAAGCAGCACGGCGCCAGGAGATGGTATCATATAGACAGCCGAACCGAAGGAATTAGCGCGTTGGAGGTCTTGGTGTTGCTGCTGTACGCGTTCTACTGTTTCCGTGTTTGCTATGTGTGATTGAAAAATATTCTCCAGCACCAACAGTAGCAGTTGAAGACGAGAGCACCACGCAATGTCTCGTTTTGGACCAAGAACGGACTGCATGCGACTTCTCCCGCTTGTCCGTCTCCACAACAGACCTGGACGTGAGTCTGACAGGTCTTGCGAGCATTCTTAGTGATGTTGCTGCGCCCGCGGTGCGCCTACTCGACCCTGCCCGACCCTTGTGTCGAATTCCCCCGATCCGTGAAAGCAGCAAGACCCCCAAAACCCCTGCTCGCTACTTTCACGGATCGGGGGGGAAACGCCTCCATATATTTGCAAGAAAGCACGTTTCCGTGAATTTTTCCGTGTTTTTTTTTGTCGTTAATAATAGGCCTTACACCACTGAATTTCTCCTATATTTTCTACACGAGACACACAGCAATGGAGAATCCCACCGCAAGAATGACGCACCCACTGCTCTTGTCGATTGTGTGCATCGGACTTACCGCTCGAAATCACCCCCCCACCTCCTGATCCACCTCCATCACTTGAAGGTCGCTGACGCCAAGGAAATGGCGGATAAGAGCCAGGCTCTGCAGGCGGCGTCAGCGGCGTCCGTGGCGCGGCTAGAAGAGACGCAAGAGGCCTACAAGGGCAGCGTGGTGGCCCTGCAGGAGAGGCTGGAAGCGAGCGTCCATGAGATCAACCGCGGCAACGCAATCATCCAAAAGTTGCAGGGGCAGTACCGCGCCCTCCGCTCGAAAGCTAAGCTTAAGAGCGAAGTCATCAAACAGCAGGTTTGTTGGCGGTTTGATTGTTTGATATTTGCTCGCTCTTCCCGCTCCTTGCTCTGCTGTGCGAAGCGACTTTTCTATTTTTTCTCTCTCCCCCCCTCGCCCCCCCCGGTGTTTGCCATCGGGATTGGGTTGTCGTCGCTTGGCAACGACGTTGTAAAACAAGCCAATTCACTTCGTGAACTCGGCAACCAGGTTACCGTTTTTTTTTTACCTCCGTTTTTTTTTTTTGGCGGTAACCATAATGGTGGCCGAGTAGATCATGTTGTGCGGGGTGGAGAACCCTCGCTCCGCGCAAGGGGGATGATCGCACCACGTTGTGTTAAAATGGTCAAGCACCCTCGAGGCAGTTACACAGTGCTTACAACTGTCTC